CACCTACAACATGTAACACATACAGCTGTGTGTGGATCCTTTTAGGAAGTGGAGAGTTCACACAAGGCATCAAAATGTTTCACTAATCTTTAGAATGGACTTTCATATTTTAGTTTTGTCCCAAATGCTTCTACCATTTACATCTTTGAAACAGGTGGCACCAATTAAACATGCCTAATCGTACAGTCGCAAACACAGACATTGAAGGATTGTTTGGCATATCTAAATACGCATATATGTTGAATATGTTTGATTTTCTACTTTTGGCAGCGGTACTTAAAGATATCCACTTGGTGCATTTTAAAGCAGAGTGTGAACAAGGCCTCGGAGCTCAGCCACGCCTCATTGAACCGGGATATTGACGTCTTCTCTCAGACTGTAATTACACATGATGATGACTCAGTCCACTTTAGTTTTGGTATCGCTCTCTGCTTCCCTGTGGTCTCTCTCTCTCTCTCACGATTTTGTCTTGATATGCTTGGTTTGTCTGTGTCACTCGCGGTGATTGCCTAAGCACTGACTTTGCTGGAGGACAGCGGGACAGGCGTATGGGACTGTCCCGGCTGTGAGGGTGACAGGTGGTGCAGGACAGCGTAGGTGGGGGCGCTATGGTTCACAGCCTCTCCCGAGTGGGGATCCAGATGTAAGGCCCTGATTGCTCCTCGATCACTGTCTTTACTTTGTGATAGACCTCCTCAAAACTGTCACCCTCCACCACAGCTGCAGCCAGGCATGAAAACAGAGAGAGCAACAATGAGCAAAAAGAGAGATACATAAGAAAACAACAGGGGATGGACACTTAATAATTCACAAATGTCAGCAATCTCAATGCTTTCAGTTCCCCCATGCATATAATATAAAAAATCTTATTGTGTTTAATTATACGAACATATTAGTCGATAAAAGATTTAATGTTCAGCATCTGTTGACACTTTCTATTCACAACAGTTCCGTTGCTGCAAACACACATCCATCTTTAAATGTTTTACAACTCTGAATCATCCCATTGTATTCTACTTTACTTTACAAATGTCTGACACAGAGGAAAGTGGCGGACTGAGATATATTAGTCAATTGGAAAGTAGTTGACTTGGGGTATTTAAGGAGAAAAAGCTACGTAAAATATCAGTTCTGTAGCACATTGTACCTGTAAAACACTCGAGGAAGTCCTGTTCTAGTTTGAGGGCTCGATCCATTCCTTTCCTTGCTTGTTCTTCTGTCAGTCGAGTGTTGATCTCCCTGAAAACATATTTATTAACAACGTAGGAAGGTGTGACATGTTTAAATACATACATGTGACAAGATTTTAACATACAACACATTTTCCAAAGACTTGGGCCGAACAAAGATGGCAATTGGATGGAGCTGAGCAGCTTGTAGTCTGCGTACAGCATTGGCAGATACATCCAGGATGCAGTGTTTCCCTTGCTATTTGGGAAAAAACACAAAATAAAAACAATTACTCATAGGTTTCAGAATGATGAGGGCAGTAGTCATAGTAATTAACAATTTAAAGTTCCTATATTGTGCAAAATTGACTCTTATGAGCTTTAAACCATGTCATAATGCTGTTACGTCATCAAAAACATTTCTGGAGTTGTGTTTTGTTTACTTCACTAATGTAAGTAACCTTAGATGATGTAGCCTGTCTACATTTCCACCTTGTGATTTCATGAAGTGGTAGCTTTCAAGTTAACGCTACCTTTTACCTTTAGTTCAGTAGAGATGGGCAATTCCAGGGCTGAAATCATTAAAATGATTCTAGTGAGGGTGTATAGAGTGAACACAGTGGAGCACTTCCTGTATTGCATCACAAGGTGGGACAGAGTGCTTTCAGCTTGAAAGAAGAACTCGACCTAAATATGCAGGGTATGTGTGTTAAACATGTGTGAAACAAACTCCGGGTATGTTTTTGATGAGGAAACAACATTATAACATACATTAAAATACTGCATTATATGGGCCCTTTAACAATTTAAAACAAAATATCCAGTGGATTGGATTAGATTTCTTTATCTCTTATCCCTGAGTCAAAGCCCACCTGCTCAGCCACCTCACGCACACTCTGGACACTGGTGCCGTACAAGTGGCTGTTGTACTGTCCCGCCTCGATGAAGCGGTGACTCTGGATGTCCTTCTCCATCTGTTCCCGTGACGACACAAAGTGATAGTCCCGCCCGTCCACCTCGTACTCCCTTTTGGGCCGCGTGGTGTCTGTCAAGGCAAGTGACAACTGTTTATAGAGATCAACACTGACGCTTTGAGGATTTACGCCAGTGCAGTTTCTCTCAGAGGAACACATCATGCACAGAGAGAGAGAGTTTTATTTGACAGCAGTAACACTTACGTGGAACACAGGATCCAAACTTATCAGGGAACTCGGACAAGAGGTCGTCATTTACCCTGTCTTTAACGGGACCCAGAATGATGATGGGCCTGGCGTAATGGACTGAGCATTTCAAAATAACAAAAGAGGAACATTTAGAAAAAGCTCAAAACACTTCAAACAATAATGTCTTTTCCATTGATCTCACCTTCTACTTGAGTGACAGTCTCATAGCTGTGTGAGAGTTTATCTCTCCCCTGCCAAGGACACACAGAAGAATTTCAAGATGTAACTTAATATATTACATATATTTGATAAAAATTTAATAACATGTATCATTTGTCTTATACATACAATATTCACAATAGTTCACAATATTTCATTTAATTAGAAAGTATTTTACTGTCCGATAATCAGGAAGTGCTAGTTGTTAGCTTTACCTTCACAGCAAAGATCCGCACTGGTCTCTGAACGTTGTGAAAAGAGCTTATAAACTCATCGAGGTGCATATTTAGGATGTTCAGAATACATAAGGTAAGTGAAGGATAACTTCGGACCATTGCAAGCTGGTGTGTTTTTTGCGTTTTTAAGAGACGGGTACAGCAGCTTTAAGATCCAGACAAATTACCTTGAGGGCCCAAACTGTCACGCCCATGGTCCTGTAAGAAAATAAAAAAATTATTTTTTTTTTTGTTTAAACATTTGATTGACGTTGCCTTGTTGTGTTAGTGACTGATTTACCCTCTCTTTGGTGTTTACACGAGACCACTCTTTTCTCTCGACTCTGAAAAAACACAATCATTTTTCTAGTACATTGTACCAAGTTAAACATTTAGTATTATTGTGTATTGTGGTGTAGTAATCACACTCTGGTCTGACCTGAGTTTGCTGGGGATGAAGCCCACCTCCTCTGCCTCATTTTGGGGGCTGACTCTTCTCGCCTGCCACCACTCTTCATCCCCACAGTCCAACACGTGAAGCACATCCCCAAATCTGAAGCTCAAGGCCTGGCTCAGGAAACCACAGTCTGCTGTCTTGTCATAGTCAAAAAGAGCCCTGGAAAGAAAACACATATTAGTTATTGCAAATACTTGTCCATTGGGTGATTAGTACAGGTCTAATTATCGCAACTTGCTCTTCCTCTTCTTTAGACAGATTGTTTATAACACATAACACATTAATACTTTAACATGAAAAAGTCCAGATTGAGTTTGTAGAAACATTGTGACTCTCTCCCCACCCCTATCCCAGATGTCTCTACACAAATATCAGTCTCAGATTAGTCAGTTGGAGATTTAACCAAAAAGCTGTCAAGAGTTTTACATACATGGGTTGTTTCAGAGCAAACCATAACACCAATCCCAAAACAATAAGAGGAAGATGTTTAGAATACATTGTATTCACATTTATATTTCTGTTTTAGTGCTGTTTTATAGTACCATTACCACACACTATGAATTTGCATGGCTCATTTATAATTAATGAGATAGGTGAAGTTTGCATTTATGTATTTTTAATGGGCATACCAACACGGAGGCTAGGTCTATACTCACATTATACATCTTTGCACTAACTGCAGATCTTGTAGAAAAATATGTTCACAACATTAAAACTCCCTCGTATAGTGTAAGAGTGTATAGTCACATTCATAATTTAACATTAGCCCTGAAGGGAAATACTAAAACAGCTGCAGCTTGTATAACAACAACATGGTAACAGCAGTGTGCAGCGTGTGATTAAATCTTCTTTAAACAGCTTTTTTGAAAGGCGCCAATGATCTGAGTTGTGTTAGCTGATGATTATGACTTAGACCTGTGTGTTGTGATGGTGGTACCTGATATAAAAGCCTCTCTTTGGGTTGCTCCGTAGTGTTTGTGGTCCCAGAGCCCATACTGCTGTTCATCAGCTGTTCTCTCAAGTCGTGAATCTTGGCTTCAAAGCGGCTGTACTCTGAAGCACAACACTTACACTTACTATGGCACTAGAATAAGACGTAAACTCACTATACATATAATGCATGCTATCAAAATACATAAGTGGGATGTACAGGATGGGTTTTTCAGTTACATTTACATATAGAAAGTGTAATCTTATGTGAGTAAAAGTTTTGGTTACTCTTCCCACATTGAGTCCACAAGTGACAAAAGCTTATGATGACAATATTTAATGATTTGAACATTTATGTTTCTTACACTGTTCCTTCTGAATTAATTCATTTTTCCATCTATTTTTGTCTAACTTTTAAAAATACCAGCTTTGACCAGATGTGCATTATTTAATGTTCTGTCCCTCCAACTGCATAAACATAAAATTATTAATTAGGTGTTGCATCCATTTTACTATTATTTTAACTTGAGAAGTGGTTTCCCAAAATACTCTTTTACTTTCTTGAGTAAATTTCTTGGACTACTACTTTGTATTTCTACAGTTTTTGTCTACTCTACCCTTCTCTGTCAAAAGATGTATTTTAAGTTTTGAAAAGTACTTACCATCTCTGGTCTGTACTGAGCGATTATTGTCACAGTCTGACCAGCGTTCTTGAGTGCTGCTGCTGCCTGTTCGTGTGTGGCCATGCGCAGGTCAACCCCATTCACCTGAAACACAGCAAACAGCAGTCAAACCAAAGGGCACTGCTAAAATGGCCAACATGTGAGAAAAAGAAGAGTTCTTACACTGAGGATCTGATCGCCCTTGTGCAGCTCTCCGCTCAGGTCAGCTGGACCCCCTGCCAGGATGAAGGAGATGAAGATGCCCTCACCATCCTCCCCACCCACGATGTTGAACCCCAGACCTGTCGAGCCTCGGTGGATCAAAACTCTCCGAGGCTCCCTGCGACAACACAAGTGGAAAATAGGTCACAGTGTAAAAGCAAGTGTACAAGAGAACTAAAAGGTTTATTGATCATTACTGACCTGGGGATATCATCATCTCCCATCATACTGTGCAGCACCGGGGAGAAGCGACTAGGCGAGGTGGGAGTGAGGGCTTGTGGGTAATCAGATCCTAGATAGTTTGGGTGGCTGAGGTCTGTATCCATGTGAGAATACGCTAAGAATAAAGAAAAATAATAATAATAATAATAATAATAATAGTTAATCATGAAAACAATTGAACTTGACACTTCACTGTGAATTTAAATGAGAGTGCTTTACAAGAAGCTCCAAAGTGTATTTTTGTTCACACAGCTGTCAGTTTATGCACTATTTGGACTTGTTACATTGAAAATATTCTGCAGGCTTCAAATGTGTTTTAAATAGAATGTTTTAAATATAGCCTTTTATCAAGCAACTTCGACACATAACTATTGTCTGCTTTGATTGTTCAAGGAAACCAGACAACAAACCCCAAAATGCAGTGCATGTGAAAACCTTGAATCTATACAGTAATTTGTTGTCTTGCAGATTTGACATTTTTTGATTTTTGTCAAAAGAAGATCTATTTCCATCCAATGTTGGAAATGAAACGCCAGCATTTCTGCACACGTTTTGAACACATGTGAGTAACGCCTGAGGTGGTGCAGAGGCGTGCTTACTGCTGGTGAGGTCTGGAGGGTTGTAGGAGTTGGTCAGGAACAGGTTGTTGGGCTTGGCCACCCGGAGGTATACCACCTCGGCTGTGTTCTTCAGAGCCCCCACTGCATCCTCGTGCATCACATCCTCCAGACACACACTGTTCACCTGCACAAGAACAAGCACACATATATTTAAGGTCTTTCAGGGGACTCATTCATTTAAAGATAACCGACAAAATAAACAATAGTCTGATTACATGATACCCATCACACTTTTGATTTGACATTTCATAACATTTAATTTTTCTTTGGAAAAGTAACACAGCAATGCTCAAAAGGAGTAGGCAGAAACAAAGAGCAACCCTATCCACAGAGTTTCAAATGCATCTAGAAACAAGAATTGATCAATCTGTTTTTAAAATATGTCTATTATGACATGCAGAAGACAATATTGTCTTAAATTTGTTTCTATAAATCAGTTTTTTCTACCAAATTTAAGATCAAAGCAACAATAGATCATAAAAGGCTTATGATAGATATTTTTCAATGTGTGGCATACTACACCCTTAAGAAAGTCAGCATTTATTTAACTGTTCTGACTGAAAGCACAGACTGCATTGCGCTACATATAGTCCCCACCAGATGGCAGTAATGCTGGTTTAATTGCAAATATGGCTTCCAGACAGTTTGATCTCTGCCTAAGCTTAAATTTAATGCTCTGGCTGCTACCTACGTATGGCTGCAGATCCATTGCCGTTGTGGAAAAGGTCTATTGTGTTGAGTTACTTTGAGTAGCTTAAGTTGTTTGAACAGTTTCTTTTGTAATTAAGTGATTTATATTCACAACCAAAGTCATCTTTTGATAAACTGTGTTGGGTAAACAGTGTTGGGGAGTAACAGATTACATGTACTAAAGTTACGTAATCAGAGTACAAATTATGAGTAACTGTATTCAGTTACAGTTACTGTTTCAGTGAGTGGTAATTGGATTACAGTTACTTTGTTGAAATAAATGGATTACATGGCAATATGTTCCTGTTTTCACATTTTGGGCTAAACCAGAACCAAATCCAGGACTAAACCAGGACTAAAACCAGGTATAAACCAGGTTTAAAAGCAGGACTAAAACAGGACTAAAACCAGGACTAAACCAGGACTAAAACCAGGTATAAACCAGATTTAAAAGCAGGACTAAAGCCAGGACTAAACCAGGACTAAACCAGGACTAAAACCAGGACTAAAACCAGGACTAAAACCAGGTATAAACCAGGATTTAAAAGCAGGACTAAAGCCAGGACTAAACCAGGACTAAAACCAGGACTAAAACAGGACTAAAACAGGACTAAAACTAAAACCAGGACTAAACCAGGACTAAACCAGGACTAAACCAGGACTAAACTAGGACTAAAACCAGGACTAAACCAGGACTAAAACCAGGTATAAACCAGGTTTAAAAGCAGGACTAAAGCCAGGACTAAACCAGGACTAAACCAGGACTAAAACCAGGACTAAACCAGGACTAAAACCAGGTATAAACCAGGTTTAAAAGCAGGACTAAAGCCAGGACTAAACCAGGACTAAACCAGGACTAAACAGGACTAAAACAGGACTAAAACAGGACTAAACCAGGACTAATCTAGGACTAAAACCAGGACTAAACCAGGATTAAAACCAGGTATAAACCAGGTTTAAAAGCAGGACTAAAACAGGACTAAACCAGGACTAAACCAGGTCTAAACATTATGACACTTAACAGCAGGCGGGCATAAGGCAGCAGTGATCTCATATAAAAATAATTTCACTATCAGTAATGTTTTTAATCTGGTTAAGTAAAGTCTGGGCTTTTTAATTTTCTTTTAGCAGATAAAACTTCTTATGTTCAGATCCTCATCTTTGCTTCTCTACAGCAAACAAAAGTCTCTTCATTTAGACTTGGGCTCAGTTTGAGGAGAACAAACGAGACTTTTCAGGATGTGGTCGGTACATTCATGTAATTTGAAAAATCATGACAATATCAAGTCATCCAATGTATTCAGATTACGTTACTCACTTTAAGTAATTTAATGGATTACGTTACAAACTACATTTTGGGATATGTAATCTGTAACCTGTAAGTAACCTTCCCAACACTGTGGGTAAAGACCCCTGAAGTTGTAAATCTGCCTCTTACTTTGACCACACAGACCAGCTTCTCTTAAAAACAAGACACTTTGTGGTTCAAATACTCCATACTGTGTGAATTCACTGCATAATTTACTTGTATTTTGTGGTACTTCTTTATCCGTATTATGTTGCTAGCGTACAGTTGTGTATGTTTTGTTTCTTCATAATGATGTTGTGTAAAAGTCATTTGCAGCAGCAGTGGAGCAGAGCCAGAGCAAAACACAAGAGAAAGACTCACTGCAGATGGGAATACTGCAGAAATAATATAACACACTAGACTCACTTGTACTTTGTTTATAGTGGTATGTGGTGAGTTCTGACGAAGTTTATTTGTTAAAGAGGGAGTATTTTACTTCTGAGGGGTTTTAACTGCCAAAATATAACAAATTTAGATCACCATGATACCTTTTATTGTTTTGAGAATGTTATATTCGCAAAAGAATGCATAGAGGGAAGGTGAAAACAGGATTTTTATGGAGCATAGAGTATGAATCACTCTAAACACAACTTTGAGTGCAGTAAAGGTTAAACAGAGTTGACTCTTGTGAGCTTTAAACCATGTTATAATGCTGTTACCTCCTCAAAAACACGTCCAGAGTTGTGTTTTGTTTCATTCACACATGTTTGAGTAATCCTGCTTTATTACATATTTTATTTTTGATGCTCTGGGTCTGTAGCCTGATTCATCAGCCGGTTTCACTTCGTAGAAATCGGCTGACCTCGCGGTGTTAGGATTCGGTCGCTCGAAGGTAGGCGGGTACTTTTTATCATTTAACCAACTGCTGCTTTTTCTCACTGCTTAAGTTTTTCCCAAATCCCGTAGGAAGAAGGCAAGAACGTCTTACCCCTTGATGAAATTCACCAGACCTTCTTTTTAAATCCTCGATCTCGGGAATCGTTGACAACACAGAATGTCTGGCTCTTCGCTGATTGGCTGGTGCCTGAACTCGCACTTCCAGGGTTTTTGCGAACTGTCTAGTGCACAGGTGTCAAACATGCGGCCCGGGGGCCAGATGCGGCCCTCCAACACCTTTAATCTGGCCCTTGGCTGATTTTCTACTTAAATATTTTAATTAAAATATTGTTAATTTTCTGCGGTGTTTATCACAGCAGTGTCTCCAGTGTCTCTGTACGTGGCCCCTCCCACCAGAGCAGCACAAATGAAGACTTGTCTCTTTCCAAACGCTCTTAAAGGACGATCGTTTTGACTGTTGACCGTGACACCCTCACCAGAAAAATGTCCAACATGAGAAAAGTGGAGCCGAGTGAAGGATTTTGCAACAAAAATGTACTTATTCCTGTTTACATACAAGTTCATGTTAAAATATTGTGTTGAAATTGCATTTTTCTTAAAGTTTCAGGTTCTTCATAATAATTTGTAAAAGAAAGAGTTCATTTACGAAGATTTTTAGTTTAAAAATGTTTAGTTTCAAAGTTCTTTAAAAAGATTTCTGTAATAGATTTGTGTTTCTCTGCACAAATATTTGAACGTATTGTTATTTTTGGGGTTTATATTACATGAGTTTTCTGATCCGGCCCCTTTGGGATCAAAGGATCAAAGTAGGTTGGATACGGCCCCCGGACCAAAATGAGTTTGACACCCCTGGTCTAGTGTATTCCAATTCCTGACCTAGTCGCTGGAGAGATATTAAATTGAGCGGAGGCACTAGGTGGCACCAGCCTGACTACTGGGTCTCACCTCCTTTTGTTCTCCGTGCTAAGTCACTCCCCCTTCAGAGCGCTATTACAACACAGTCAGGGTGCATCCGCCTAATGAAACCCCTGCACAAAGCATCAGGGTTGTGAAGTTGTAGTAGGGCTGCTCGATTAAGGAAAAAATCATTATCACGGTTATTTTGGTCAATATTGAAATCAAATTGAAATTTTTAGTTACATGATGCAGTTATTTAGCATTTCTTGCAAAAACAAAACAAAAACAAAAACAAAACAAAGCAAAAAAAACACCCTGTTATTGATAATTTACACAAAACAAGTAAATATAGGCGACAAATATGTACCTAAGAGTAGTATTGCATTGTATAAAACATAAAATGAACTATATATTCAGCTGTTTTACGATCTCTAAAATAAATATATTTACTTATTTATATATAAAAAAAAAAAAAATCCCAAAATAAACTTTGTCAAGCTAAATCATTTCAACTCGATTATTTGAATTTGGAGATTATTTGACACACAAATCAAAATTGCAATAAAAAATCAATTAATTGCACAGCCTTAAGTTGTATTGTTTTGTTAATTGTATTTTATTCTTGTTTTATCTTATAATTCCTGTTTTTAGCTTGATTCATGTTTCTGGTGCATTTTTTACTCATTGTTTTTATGTAGCACTTTGAGATTATTTTATGTAAAGTGCAATATAAATAAAATGTATTATTATTATTATTATTATTATTGTGTTGGTATCATGTTTTTGTATATTTATGGAAAACTGTTGTGTGGGGGCATGGATGATGTACTCTTATGGGAAGATCATTGAGCAAAATCTTACAGCTCACCGTAAGGAAGGTTGGAATAGAGTCAGAGAGAGATCCCTAAATTACTCAAACATGCATGGATGACATTTAAATCCTTTTCAGGCATGTTTTGGATGAGGGAACAACGGTATAGCAGGGTAGAAAGCTCCAAAAGTCATACCTGTTTATCTGAATGGGTCTAATCTCGACGATACTAGTTTCAGTATCGATTATTGTCTGATTTTTGATCCATTTGTCAGCCCTATTACAGAAATATTAACAACAAGGTGCATTTTGACACTTAAAATGCAAATTCTACCACTATATTCCAACCTGAAGCTCAGTTTGAACCTATAAAGATTTTACATTAGGACGTCACGTGAACACAACGGCTCTGAAACTTCATATTATTTCTCAGTTTTAAAGCCGTTTAACCTTGAGTTGTTTGTGCACAGAGGAGGTGTGGACGGTGCTTTGAAATGTCTGAAGGCGGCTGTAGCATTTTAAACACAGTAAAGGTCACACTCACTCTGTTTTGGTGACTTTGACTGATCTTGAGTCTGAGCGGTGCACTTATGGGGTGGAATATATGAAAAACTGCTACCACTGCGTTCTTCCACCAGGGGGCAGCCAAGACGCAAGTAAAGCTGTATTTACCCATGTTATAATGGTTTTCCCTCATCATTATCTTACTCAGAGTTGTATTTCAGGTGATTCATGCATGTTTCAGTAATCTTGTGTTGTATATAAGTGTATATCTTGGCAAATCCAGACTGATTTTTATGCAGATTGGCATCAGTCTGGTCTCCACACCGTCCGTCATGTCTCAACCACATATTCGTCCAATCACATTTGTTTATTTCAGTGACGCATGTGAAATGAACAAGCTCACTGGTCACCTGTCATTTACAAACAAAATTATGTTTCACTCACTTCAGATGAACAGAGTTTTGTGCTTCACTCATTTTCAGTCCGCTGTGATATTTTTCTTTTTTCTTCGTACATGTAGTAGCAGGTATCGGTATCGGTATCGAGTATGTATCGGCTTCTCCAGATGTATTAACACCTCAGATGTAACACCTCAATCCCAGGTGCACTCAGAAATATCTGT